CTTTATCCATTTACCCTTGTCTCCTTCAACATGGGAAAATATTCCAGTTCTAACCTTCCCTTACTTATAGACTCTGGCTCCATTTACTTTTTCCTTAATTCTTTCCTTCTATGTCCTTCTATCTTCTCAGCACAACATATTGTATTTGCCATCCTCCTCGCAAGTATCCAGGAGTGGCCTGTGCCCACAGTGACTTCCATTTGCCTGAGGACCCCAGCATCCCAGCATTTCACCATGCAGATGACCACCCATCTGAAGCAATGGGAAGTGGTGTACCCTGCAGGAAAGCCTTTCCTCTGAAGACGGGCATTCAGACTGGCCAGTCCCCCTGCTCCCTAGAGCTTTAGCACAATACATTTGCCATCTACCATACTACATGTAGACACACCTCAGAAGGATGAGAAGACTCCAGTGCAGTTAAAGAAATTGTATAGGCTGCATCATGCTTTGTTCTTATTGACTATTTATCAGCTACTTGCTGTTCAGTTAAAACTTTACCCATGAAGGGAACAAGGACATGCAGCACCTCTCATGGAGGCTATTCACAGAATTGATATAGCCAGACATACCTAAGTTTCCTACTACTACAGCTGCTCATTACAACACTAAACTATCAACCTATAGGTAACAAATCTGATGCACTTCCTCCATATGCATGGTCTGTTGTTAACAGAAAACAGATCCTCAAGCTGCAAAGTTTAGCCACAGACATGCAGATAGGATGGCAGCAATTGCAAGTCTGAACAGAAGTGCAGTCATTTTGCTCCAGCATCAAGAACCCACTCCTAAACACCACATCTAGTCAAAACTTAACTGTTTGGAGCATGTTATTTGTGAATTTGTACCCTAGCACTATTAATTCAGAGTTTAGAATTAAGAGTGAAGTTCAAGAACATTGCTTAAAATGAGAATAAGCTTCTTCATCTTCAGTTGCTCTTAATTAATGGGAGGAGCAAAACACTCATTTAGATGCTATTCCAGCAAATGTTCCTTTGCAGAGGCCTGTATTTGAAGAGTGCCCATCTCCAAAACCACTTTCAGAACAAATTATTTCCTTTCTTCATCTGTCATTTTATAGGAGATTTCACCGACACAATGGGGTCTGCTTGCTTCCTCGGGGCACACCACCTCCATTAGAGGAAGAAATAAGTGCAATTATTTCAGATATAACTTTAGGAGCATGCTAGTATTTTGAGAACAAAGAATCCTAAAGGCACAAGTAGATACTAGTATTTAAAAACATCCTTTAGTTTCTTCAGCAGGGAGAGTAGCTTTTTATATTAAAGCTTACTACATATAGTGCTAAGCAGGAAGTACACCTAGAAGTTATTTCCATTTGGAAGATTAGTGCTTCTATAGACAGAAACTCCAATTGGTATGGTATTATGCACTAGGCAGGTGTAACTACCTTTTGTAAGCTACATCAAGACCAAAAAAATAGGAGCACACTGCAGAGACATTCGTGAATATTTATTCACAAGGAAAATAAAAACAGTTTTGTGAAATTTCAGTCCCAAAGTATTCAACTATTTCAGGGATTCAAATATCCATAGCAACATTCCCATTAACATCAGGAAGTGTTGGATTAGACCTACTTATATTGCACCATGATTTGAATTGTGATTCAAAGAATCCTGCTTGAAAAGCTCCTGTTTTTCAAAGTAGCACCCTAAGGCCACAACTCAGTGGGCTCCTAAGGAAAGGACAAGAAGTTCCTTCTTCCACTATGGCCACAAAGTCAGTCTTAAGCTTCTTTGGACATGAAACCTGCACAACAGTAAAGAGGTTTCAGGACAGAGTGAAGATAAGCAAAACCTTTCTGCAAGATAAAGGAAGATGTAGAAGTAGCTTTGGAACCTTGGCTCAGCAGTAAAACAAGTCTTTCATCTACATAAATCCACCTTAGGACATCAGCTAGTCTCTTCCACTTCAGTTCAGTGGAAAACACTGTAATACACAAATACTAATAAAGTTCCTCTGCTATAGCCCATAAGCCATGTCATTAATTGGTCAAAAGCACCTGCTGCCCTGCTAGGAATCACTGCCCATGTGGGCAATTAACCAGCATTCCCTGATTAACAGAGGCAGCATATTGCTCTATCATCTTCACTGGGAAGACTGTAGGCCTACCCCCTTCCACAGCAGACAAAAGCAACACATTGGCAAGACCATCATACACAGGTTTATTGCAACAGTCTCATACAACCAAGAACTGAGAGTAGTCATGAAATAGCCTTAACTACTTGCAGCTTTACCTTGTCATAAGCAATAGAGAATGTGCTTACAAGCATCATTTTCTGGTCAAGCTAGTTCAAACCCAAAGTTATAATTTTGTTTCTCCAAGAAACTTGGGAGTCACAAAAGTTTATGTTGGCACACCAGATTCAGTTGCTCAAAGGACAGCACCACCATAATCTGGCTTCTTTGTACTCCAGATTCAGTTGCAATCTCATCTTTCTTATCAGCTCTCCCTCGTGTTATCACCTGCTGATATCAGAACTGAGGGACCTGACTTGGCCTCAAGTTCAATGAAAGTTTTAGTAGTAAAGGACACAGCCACTTCTTCCTTTAAAGTGTTGGTTTTCTTAACAGATAAGATGAAGCTTCCACCCTTATTACAAGGCAGGGAACAAGTAACAGGCAAAGGTTAAGTCTTATGAAAAGTCTTTATTACCTTTGTTACCAGAAGAACAAAACATACTAAGACATGAGGCCAATAATGCTGCTGCAGTTTATTTCAACTAAAAAGATGCTTAGTATACAAAACAAGTGCAAGCACGCAATCTAGCTAAGGTGTTATAAAAACAGCTCCTTTTATTTAACCTCAGTATTTTGCAAGTTAGCAGGATGTAATCTGACATACAGCAAGCTCAATACTGTTTACAGTCTGCAATATATCTTTCACTAATTTTATAGCTTGTGTAAAGTACAGATTTTTCATGCTAAAGTTAACTCAGCCCTAATATTGAACTAGATTACTAACAAGTGCCCAACACTAATTTGTCAGAACCAGCTGATTCCACTAATTAAACACATCCCCTCCTCTAAGCAAAATGAACAAGGCACTTAAAGTTCCAGATTAAGGTGGAAAAAAAACACATTATTGCACCAGGAATTCAAATACTATAGAATTCCTGTTTCTTAGGGAGCTCAGTTACCTACACCTACAACCCAGCAATCACAGTCTATTAACAAGTATAGAAGGGAGAGTAGGACCACAGCCACTCAGTGGTGTTGACTTGATGTTACCTCTAAATTTGAGGTTCTATACCACACTAGAGATTGCAAGGTTTAGCTTAAAAAAAAAAAAGACTGGCTTCATTTCATTCTTTTAAAAGACTCAAGTAAAAGACACTATGAGGACCACAGCCGAGTTCCATGATTGTCCTCAGAAACTATACCAGGCATCAATACAATGCAAGGATGCAGAGCAGCAATAAGAGACATCATGCTATGATTACTGTGCAACACCACTGCTGTGCTTGAAAAACACAGCAACCCACCAATGGCATCACTGTTGTCACCAGCAATTTGAGAGACCTTTTCCCACAGGGTGATGTGGGCTGCACGGTGAGCCAATTACATTAACATAAGTGCTGGGAAGAAGCTGTGCCATGACTCCGGAGGGTTCCCAAGCCGGCACCAGTGCCTGCTTTAATGCAGTCAGATGCTCTGCCTCCTCCAAACACCATCAGCAATAGACTGCTGAGTCATAGAGCCCTGGAGGGACACTAGGAGCTGCAGAGCCTGCAGGTACAAGCTGCATGCAGGCTGCTGCAGACCCAAACCTCTCCAGCAGCCTCCCAAGAGCAAAGCAGCACTGCTAGCCCACATTAAAGCCACCTGGCAAGCACCAACTGCCTCCAGGCTTATCTTGTTTCACTGGGGGCTTTAATTTGAAGTACACTGTATTTCAATTTCCAGTATAAAGGTAGCAACCCTGATGTCTGAAAAAATCTTCACAATTCAATATAAACAAGAAGAGTTTTCCCCATTTCCAACCCTCATGTAGCAGAGCTGTCAAGTGACCTACACAGAATGCTTCGGATTTTTGCAAGCACCTTGTCATCTCACAGAAATTCAGACATAGGGAGGATTAGCTTTTAGTTTGTCTTCAAGATAGTCTACTATAACTTAGTAAGAAAACTTACTTTTAAATCAGAACATGAAGGAAAATATTTCAGAATTTAAATGGTCAAAGTACCTACTATTCTTAACCACCTTGAACTGGCACAGGTTAAAGGTTACTAGCTCCAGACCACCCTTCCTCAGTGTAAGGTCTCCATTTACTTATCTGAGCATCTATATTCACCTTACTGCACTTAAGTGCTAGTACTTGCAGTACTGAACTTGCTAGTATTTGCACCCTGTTTGGGGAGAAAAAGCTTTAAAAGTGACAAGCTCAGAGCAATGCCATACCAGCTCCCAGACAGTGCTTATTGCAAAATCAGCTCTTAAGACTAAACTACAAGTGATCTTGAGTGCACCACAGCATACTAGGCATAGAGATGCACAAGGAAGTATTCACCACATTCTTTTTTCTCTAAGATGAAGTAATCTTACTGCTAGAGCAAACTAGACATCTGTCTCAGAAATATAACCCTGTAAAAACAAAACTAAGGTTCTTTTTCATTACCAACACTGAATAGTGCATGATTAGATTTGAGCTTCTCACTGCTTTTACTTGGTTGTGATCATTCTCTTAAACACAAGATCTTACATTTTTCTTGTATTCTAATCAAGACCTAAACAGTAGGAAAAGCTTGCTCTGTTTTTACTAAATAGCCCTTACATTTAAAAGTATAAAATGCTTAGTAAATACCCACTTTAATTACTAGAACTACAGCATCCCTTGGAATGACCTCTTAAGGACAAGGGAGTATATTCATCATTGACCTTCAAGGTAATGAACCTTTCTTGAGCTGGCACAGCAAGAAAACACACTGCTGCATGTAATTTAATAAGCAGAGACAATAAAAACAGTGAAAAGGTAAGCTGACCTTATGTTTGGCATGCTGAAATTTTGACCCTTCCTGCTCTTCATGCTGCCCCGAGCTGGCTCTCTCCCTTACACTTCTATACCCAGGACTGGGTATAATGTACTCTTTTCCTATGTCGATGTCTTTCATCTTCCGTAAACGCCAGGGTTTACACGTGTATTTTCACGTTGAAGACCTGAAAAAAATAAATAAGTCCCACATCATTATATGCCATGTCCAACATGAGTTTAATCAGCTATTTTAAAAGCCTTCCCCCCTCCCCCCAAGTAAGAAAGCAGTTGTAAAGAAGTTGGCATAATAGTACTAAAAAATACCACTCTGGAATCCTGCAGAAGACTCCAGCTTCCCCTGAACTAGTTTAAATGTGTCCTGAGGTAAAAAGGGAGTACAATGATTTTCAATGCACCAGAATGTAGAATCTTACTCCCTAGAATTCTAAAATAAGATTATGCAACATGACAGATAGAATTAACTAAAATGAGTTAAAACTTTGAGAAACTTCCAGTTTGGAAGATCAAATCCTTGGGAATCCTCTGTTAATGTTTAAGATAATGCATTTACGGTAGTATTCTAGTGGAAAATTTTGCAGAATAGAGATCCCTAGAGATACCACAATATGATGAAATTAGTCATTCTATATGCATTTTGGTCAGAAAAATATCCTCCTCCATAAGCTTATTCATTCACTGCTCAAGTCTGAACTAGCCTCAAGCAGGTACATGGATGGGAAGGAGCCACATCTTCAGCACTGCGGATTCTCCGCAACCTATCAAACCCCCCATAAGGTCAGGGGAAAAAAAATAAATGAAAGGGAAAAAGAAGTCCCAGAAGAAGAATTACCTCACCTCGCAGTGTCATGTTCTATAGCGCTGCTTTCTGTCACCTGCCTTAAACCAGCACCACGGAAGAAGCCCGCTTAGGTCCTTGGCCAGACCCTTGGCCGGCCACATCGGCTGGGGGCCTCCCCCCCCCCCCCCCCCGCCCACCCCGCCCCC